CTAGCGAGGGCTGCATACATAAAATCATAAAAACAAACAAATAATAGATAAAAATCATATACTAAAAATCAAACATCTACTATAAAGTATTTTAATTTTATATAAAAAATATTTTTGTCCTGATCTACGTTGAGTAGTCTATATAGAGGAGATTGAATAATAGCTCAAAATAAAGTATACTCAAATAAAATATACTCTTGTATATTGTGCATGTGGAGTGGTGGGAGGTTGGGTGTGTGTGGGGGGGCGCTGCCTGTGCACTAGATCCAAGAAGCTAGCTGGGGTGGGCAGGGTTGGGGGGGGGAGGCTGAGAGAGGGAGCAGGAGGCATGTGCAGCAGATCTCACCTGGGCAGTGCAGTTATGGTCTGCCCTGCCACATGGCCCAAGGCTGCCTCCATGGCACTCATGCCTGGGGCAGCCCGGGCCACACTCCCACCTGTAGACCCCCTGCAGCTGCTAACAGCACTTCCCTGGCCCTGGCTAGTGTACACAGCTTCCTGGTAGGGTGCCGTCACTGGTGGTGCAGCCACCAGGGTACTGCTCAGCTCCCCCCACCTCCAGTGGCTCCACTTCCTCTTCCTTCTGCCCCCTGCTGTGCCACTTGGGGCAGCAGGCACCACATGCCAAGGCAGGGAGGAGGAAACTACAGTTGGGTGGCTCCTGCCTCAGTGCACAGGGCTCCAGCTCCAGCTTGCCTAGGTGGGCACCCAAATGGGTGGAACACAGCCAGGAGCTGCAGCTCGGCATGCTGGGACAGTAGCTGCTGGGCTGCAACTTCCCCCTTGCCTGGCTGGCCATGTAGTGCCTGCCAGAGGTAGGAAGAGAAGTTGCTGGAAGCAGGGGGAGTTGAGCAGTACCCAGGCAGCTGCAGCAGCAGTAGTAGTGGCAACAGCCCTGCCAGAAAGCTGTTTATGCTGGCTGGAGACAGGGTCAGGGCCATCGGTGGGTGTGTGGCAGGTGCAGTGGGGTAGGAAAGAGCAGCACAGGCTGCCCTACGTGGAAGGGGGCAGAGCTCAGCCCCATGCAGAGTACTAGGCAGCTACGAGCTGGACACAATTAACTGATGGGTCAGATCTCGCCTGCGGGCCATATTTTGCCCACCCCTGCTTTAGAGGAAGAGCCAGGAAAGCTAGCAATCACTGAAAGAGACTATATTAAGTGTGCAATACAAGCAATACCCATGTGATGCAAAGATAGGAAGTATAATGAGAATGCTTTGGTTACATCAGAAACTCTTTAATTACCTGAATATAGTAATCAATAATAGTAGCAGTAGTAATAAATGGCTCAATATCCAGTTGGCAGCCAGTATCAAGTGAAGTGCCCCAGAGATTGGTTCTGGGGCCGGTTTAATTCAATATCTTCATCAATGACTTAGATGATGGGATGGAATGTACCCTCAGCAAGTTTGCAGATGATACCAAGCTAGGGGGAGCAGTAGATGTGTTGGAAGGGTAGGGACAGGATTCAGAGACATGTTGACAGATTGGAGGATTGGGCCAAAAGAAATCTCATGAGGTTCAATAAGGAGAAGTGCAGTGTCCTGCACTTAGGACAAACAATCCCATGCACTGGTACACGCTGGGGACTCACTGACTAAGCAGCAGCTCTGCAAAAAAGGACCTGGGGGCTACAATGGAGAATAAGCTGAATATGAGCCAACAGTGTGCCCTTGTTGTGAAGAATGCTAACGACATACTGGGCCACATTAGTAGGAACATTGCTAGCAGATGGAGGAAAGAGATTATTCCTTTCTATTCAGCACAGGTGAGGTCACATCTGGAGTACTATGTCCCGTTTTGGGCCCTCCACTACAGAAATGATGGGGACAAATTGGAGAGAGTCCAGTGGAGGACAACAAAAATGGTTAGGGAGTTAGGACACGACAACATAGTGGGGTGGAACTGTGGCCAGCTCATCCCAGGGAAAGGGGGATGAGGAGGGGAAGTGGCTCCCTGCCACTGCATGCTCCCTCAGGGGAGGCATGGGGGCATGTGCCCCCTGGATTTGTGTGTGGGGCAAGGGTGGGCTGCCTGCTGCAGCCTTGGGACCAGGAGCTGTGCTGACCTCTTCCCAGTGGGGGAGCTGGGCTGGGGCTGCACCCGGGGTGGGTGGGGGCAGAGCAGGCTGCAGTGATGCTGGGAGGAGTGTACATAGGGTGGGCTATGGTGAATTTTGGGGTGGCTGTAGCCCACTCTGTAGCTCCTCTCCCAGAGCCACTACCTGCCCCACCCTGAGTGGAGGTGAGCAGGGGAAGAGGCCAGCACAGCCCCTGGCCCTGAGCCCACAGCAGGCAGCCCACCATCACCCCGTGCAAAAATCCTGGGGGCACATGCTTTCCATGCCTCCCGCAGGGTTGTGTATAATGGTGGGGTGCCATGTCCCCTCCCCACCCCCTCACACCCTTGTGGATGAGCTGCCCGTGACCCCAGCCTGCTTCTGGGGGTGCATTCATCACCCTGGCTGGGCAGTGCCTGCCCATCCCAGCCCTAGACCTACTCCCTCCCTCACCTTGGGGGCCTTGATCTGCTCCCCCATGCCCCTTCTCTCCCCCATACCCCTTCCCCCCCACAGGCTTACTGGCTGGATGCTGCTCCAAGCTGCCAGGCTGCATATTGGCTATTGGATCGTTATGGATTGGATTGGTATTGGATCGGTATTAACCAATATGGCTGGTTAATAATCAGCCATCAGTATCAGCTAAAAAATCTTTATAGGTGCACCCCTAATATTAAGTTAAACTTTCTTATTGTCAGCATGATAAAACAATGGAAAAGGCTACCTAAAGATGTTATAAGATCTGCACTGGAGGTTAGCCGAACATCTCTTGGAAATGGTCTTAGTATATTTGATTCTGGTATACTACTAGGAGTTGGACTCGATGACCTTTGGGCCAAGTCATCAAAAACATGACACTTTTATTGGTATAAGTGATTTGAAACTGGTCTAAACCTATAACAAAACAGAAGTTTGGCAGAACTGGCAGAACCTGGTCTAAGATAGGCAGCTTGCATACCCACCCAACCAAAGGGTAAATGTGTGTTCTGTTTGCTACCAATCTAAACTACACTGCTTATGGAAAACCATGTAACTTAGATAAATTCCATCTTGGGCTTTTTGAGTGTCTATACCTAGCCTTTGAAGTTCCTTTTAGCCAAATATTCTATGCTTCTATGATTTCAGAATATGTTTCATGCTGGGATGGTACTTTGACGCTTTGCAAGAATCATCCTAAAGCCAAGTACCAAGTGCTGTCAACTGACAGTATTTGAAAATCATAACTCAGACATAAATCATGAAATGCCTTTAAAATAATGAGTTTTAAAAACTGTAAATTTTTGGCTTGTTTTTATTTGCTGAAACTTTTTCACAACCCTGGTGGCTTGAAAGTTCCTTTAAAAATATTTCTGAAAATCTCAACTTCAGGAGCTATAGCTTTAAGAAAAACATGAAATATCATGAGACTTGTGATAAAATCAGGAGAATAGGCAACACTGTATACCTAACAATGTACCCAGTACAACACATACCAGGTTGTTTTTTGCTGCTTTAGAAGATTAGCATACTTCAACATTTTAGCTATAAGAAAATGCACAAGTCTTAAAAAAGACATACCTTTACAGATGTGCTCTATTTTATGGTTTACAACACTAATCTCTTGTTCTGATGTTACCAGATTATGTGCACAAGGCACAACGCAGCAGCACAAAGAGGTACTCAAGCTAGCTCTAAGTGAATTAGTTTGGTACTAGGAACAAGATAGTTATATTTAGGCTAATTAGCCACACTGAGAAATAGGGAATATTAGCTGGTATGGAATGCCACATTAACACAGTTATATTACTTCCAATAATATAAGCTAGCTTGTATAGAGCTAGTTTGGGGATTCTATCCAGCATTGCACTGTGCCAAATAAATATACATGGAATGAGTAAGCAGCCAGTCATACATTTGTGTATGTGTATATTCAATGCTTATGTGACTATGTCCATTTATTTTACTCCACTATCAAATCTTGTAACTGTTTAGATCTAGAAACAGTTTGTGTATATAATAGGGCTGTGCAAAGCTTCGGGTGATGATTCGATTCAGAGGAGATTCGGCCCGATTCGGTGGTCGAATCTCCAAATCCAAATCGAATCAGGAGACCAATTAAAAGGTCTGAATTGACTCAAAGGTCTCCAAATCAATTCGCAAAAGATTCAGAGAGCTTCAGCAATATGGAAGTCCCCACTCGTTGCAGCAGGGAGCGGGACCCGAACTCCATGCTGGTAAGTAGGGGGTGGGGGAGGGGGGCTAGAGGATGGGGGAGGGGACCATAGAGGGACCTCTGCCAGCCCCCACCATGGCTGCCCTGCCTGGCCCCAGCTCCTGCCTCTTTAAAAAAAAGACCCCATTCACTGACTGCTGCTAAGTGAGGGGGCAATTGCCACTGCCCCCTCAACTGCTCTTCCAGCCCCCCACCACATGGCTGCCCTGCCCACCCCAGCTCCCGGGCCTTTAAAAAAAAAAAAAAAGAAAAAAGTCCCCACTCACCAGCTGCTGCAGTGGCCTCGTGGCGACTGGGGGATCATGGTAGAGCCCCCCCATGCAGCACAAGGCAGTGGGGGGCCGAGGGTATCACATCCCCGCCTGGCAGGAGCTGGAGAGTGTGAGCTTTCTGTTTTTTTTTAAAGGGCCAGGAGCTGGGGCGGGCAGGTCAGCCGTGGGGGGTGCTGGGAAAGCGGGCAGGGTCGGGGGGCTCATAACAGAGCCCCCCATGTGGTGTGGGGCAGTGGGGGGCAGCAGGGATGCCCCCCTCCCATGCCTGGAAGCAGCCAGTGAGTGTGGGCTTTTTTTTTTTTTTAAGAGCAGAGCGCTGGGAGAGTGGGCAGGGCAGCCATTGAGAGCAGGTGGGAGATGGGGCCGATTTGGGGATTTGGCCAATTCAGCAGTGGCCAAATCTCTGAATTAGATTTAGCTGAATCGATTCGGGACAGTGATTCAAATCACCGAATCGAATCACTGTCCCCTGAATCCGCCAAATCTGAATCCAAAGTGAATACTAGCCGCTTCGCACAGGCCTAGTATGTAATATATATCCAAGATACCTTCTGCAGCTATGTGCATTATTGCTTTATACCCACAGTACACAATGATCTCCTTCATTTAGAAGTTAGTTACTTTAGGAGTGGCAAATTTGTTTCATTTTAAGTCCTGTCTGGGTCTTAGGCCTCGTGAAAGTTTTGATACACAGAAATATCAGAAGTAATCTCACTCTGTTTTTCTTGTCATACAAATTTGATTGCATTATTTGAGAGTAGAGACTACATTCCTTGGCAGGTCCTCCTCTTGGTAGTGCCTCCTGGCCAGAAAGAAACTAAGAGACATCTAACTGCCCCAAGAACTACCAATAGCATGAACCCCTCTAAACCACTATGTTGTTGCATGATCTTGGTGTTCTAGATCAGACACATATGCACACATGGGAAATGCTTTTGGCGGTCCAGCAATAAACATAAAATGGCATGTGATATATAATGAATAGCCACAGCAAAAATTGCATTAATTAAATACTACAAAGTTAATGCATGCTATAAAAATGGCTGCAAACTGAAATTGGGACTTTTGTGCAATTCTAATCACTTCCATAATGACTATCCAAATCAGAGTCCGAAGAGCAATCTGATATTTCATTAGTTATCATATGGCTAGGCTGTAGTCTTCTATTCCTCTGACAAGCAGTATTCCACAGGTGAATAGCCTTCTCTGGGTCAAACTTTCTGATGTCTGGAGAATTCATTTGAATTACCATGAGATCAGTTACACTGTCAGACATTAGTTTAGAGTGCTGTTGCATTGTGGTAAGCTTCATTTGACTGAAGCCTCGTTCTGCTTCAGCTGAACTTGCAGGCAGTGTTAGGATCAGATCTATTAGTGTCAGGATGTTAGGATACTTATGCGAGTATTCTAAGTTCACTGAATCCCATGTCAAGCTCCGGATATTTTGAAATCTAAAAGAGAATAAAAATAAACAAAAAGTTGGTCACAGCTATAGAATTTCCATAGTCTTTCAAAACACATACTTTAGGCATTTCTAGTTCAATAAACACACATAATTTCAGTATTCTTATTACCTATCATATAGCTCTAATTTCAGCATGCTCCATTCAGTCTCAACCTCATCAACTTTTACATTGGCATTTTCTAGTACTGCTTCAAAATGTTTAGTTAGGACAGACACCTCCCTTTCACCAAAGTCTGTAACAGAGATAAAAGAAAACAGCTGCATAACTTATAGCAATATATATTACAAATGTGCATTTACTCAAATAGACAGTATATAGCTTTCTGTACCTTGTTCGATTTTGTCTGGCCATAGCTTAAAACTTCCAATGATGGTTGCTCTCAAAATATCTTGGCTGGCATCACAAAAACAGTCATGTAGTCTCTTCATCATATTGCTTAGTACTTTCATTCGTAATGGTAAAATATTTCCATTCCCTAAAAGCTGGTGACCATGAAAATGTGTAAGAGTCTCCACTAGGCGCTCCTTTGGACCGGATCTGAAAGATATAAAGACACAGAACACTATATACTAACCTTTTTTCTATAATTTAATGTAAATTGTCTGATGCAGTTTTCAGATATGCCTCACCTTGTTTGATACATATGAAGTGTTTGTAATGTTGACTGCATGGTTGCAAATATATCTGCAATGGAAGAGTTACAATCCTGTGTAACACGGGATAGAATATTGAGGACATTAATGACATCCAGTAAGAAATGAGAAAACTTGACAATCTCCATTTTGAGAAGGAGCTTTAGAAAACCTTTGACTTTCTGGTGGTTTGTGGCACTTGGATCTCCTCGAATCTGAAACTCAATAGGAAAGATAATTCATGTAAAAAAGTCTGGAAAATGAAGATCCATTAACTTCTTTTCCCACTGCATTACATCCAATTTTTGAAGAACTTACCTTACTCAGATGTAGGACAATTGCTGCATAACCCTTCAGGAGGATTTGAAGAGCTGTCTGTAGGCGAGGTAGCCATCGGGACCCACCAATTTTAGAGGGAAGAGCTAGGTGTAACTTAAAGGCTTCATATGCGGATTTGAGATTGCTCTTATTTAGAGGTGAGTTATGATAAAAGTAATATATATTTTGCAAGAGATCAGTTAAAACAGTATACAGCTGAATGCTTTCCAATGCTCCTTTGTAAGCCAATTCAAGGTGATGAGCAAAACAATGTACGGACTGTACACAAGGCTGAACTTCCTGCAGAAGTTTAGCTACTGCATTATTTTCTCCTACCATGACATCAGTACCATCACTTCCAAACCCAACTAATTTTCTGGACCAGTCTTGACTTGACAGATTGATCTGAAGATTAATCTGCAATATTTTCTCAATCACATTTTTTACAGTCAAAGCATTAGACTTATCAATTGGCTGAACTCCAACAATCTGGCAGTGGACTCTTCCTTCATTGGCAAAACGTACATATACAACTGCTGTTTCTTTAATTGAATTGTCTGTGACTCCATCACTAATGAGGGAGAAGAACTTACTTTTTTCTAGTTTCTCTTTTAAGGCCCTTCGTTCCACTTCAGCAATAAAATGTGTAAACATTTTTGCATACTTGTAATTTCTAAATACAGAACCAATGTCCACACCTTTCATATCATCTAGCTTGCACATCCAATCAAGGTCTGTGAAGGGACGTCCAGATTTGGCAATAGCATGACATGTTCTAAAAATGTTTTCAATTCTTCCTAATGTTATTTTGCTCATGTTCTTTAACATCTCCTCAGCAGGAGCAGTATCTGGAGTAGCACTGCTGGCAGCCTCCATGCAATTAGCCCAGGCATGAGCTTCACTGCCGTGATGTGCATTTATAAATTCAAGCTGAAAGTCATCAGTTCCAGAACAAAAATTATGTACAGTTTCCCCTAAATTCACACTATGTTTGCGACACAGAGCACAGAACATTATCCCTCTTTCTTCATCATATTTTAGCCAGGGGTATTTTGTTAACCATATTTTTGGAAACTGTCGATTCCTCTTTGTTTGAAGATATTCCAAACCTTGTTCCTCTTCTCCTCCATCACCACCTTTTTTCTTGTTAGCAGAGATATTCTTGCTTTTAAATTGCTTCAGTACTTTTATAGCTATAATTTAAAAAGAAACAACTATATATAAAATTAGTTTTATTGATATATTTTCTAACTTTTTTTTCTTTTTTTCTTACACCTTTATTTTATTCATTTGGTAACTAGATTATAACTTGGTCTATATAGCTGTACAAGGAAATAAGGAAGAATCAGAGTTCCCTTAACACCTTTTTGAAAGTTGAACCCATACAAATAAGTAGGTGTTGAATGACCTCTTAGTTCTAACATAAAGCATGTAATTAGGGAACAAATAGCTTCAGCAAAGGTCCGGAAAATGTCTGTTAATATTTGCTGCTGGTAAAAAGTAGGAGCAAATCATGATTCTCATGAAGCAAACAAAGGAGATGAAGGAGTGAGACTTAGAGGGCATGTCTACATGTGTGCCAGACTGTGCAGTTGTTACTGCGCAGTCATTTAGTACTTGCTACAAGCTGTGCAGTAGCGCTGGCATCACGGTTCATGCCTGCTGAATCCATGTCACCATAGCAACAAGTTACGGCAACATAGTATCTCATGTAGATGTGCCCAGAGTGTACCTCAGAGGCAAATTATTCATGAGAGCTATTGCTGAAGTCATGATACTTGCACAACATCCGTTATTCACTGGGGTGCTTATAAACACAAGCTAACTCATAACATTTCCTTTTCAAGAAGTGTCTTCTTCTCTGGATGTGTATGCATACAATTACCTGTCTAAACTGACTATATCTTGAAGATGTATGTTACAACAGATCACTAGTCTGGGACCTATGGTCTTGCATGTGGACATGGTAGGAACCTCTCAAGCTCAGAGTTTAAAACCACTAGTGTCCACAGAAGACATTTGGAATGCAAAGTTTTAGGGAGTTGGCTTCCAGTTCCTATTTAGTGAGAAATTAAATATTTTTAAACATTTTATTAAATATAACAACAGGTAAATCTCAAGGAACACAAGAGGAAGGCAGAAGACTGATGGACTATCACAGCACATATTATCTGAGGTCAGGAATTTTTCTCTAATGCAAAAACATATTTTTGGTAGACTGCCCACACCTATGGTTTAAAATAGTCCAGGAATGTCTGTAAAGTGATAATAAAACCACTTAGTAAACAAACAAACATGCATACATACATACACACACACATACATATATACAAACATACATATATACATATATTCATAAGCTATAAATAATAAAAGATGAGACAAGAGATGAGAAACATGGGAAATAGATTAATTACCTTTAAAACAAAATAATTAAAAAAATAGACAATGCTATTTAAAGAAAATAAGGAGGCACTGATTGAGATGTGGACCACCTAGTGCAGAAAAGATTCTGTAACACAGATATAGTAAGGGCTAAAAATGGTCCTGCATATACTGGTGCAACTTTGCTGATGCCAGTAGGATTATGGCTGCTTGAAACAAAAACCTATAATAGTGATTCTCATCCAGGATGCTACAGTACCCTGTGGACAAGGCCTGGTCAAAGAAAGGGGAGCTATCAATGCCTGTTGGAAGGAGCATTTTGTAGACTTTCTCAATTGAGACTCTGTTGTTGACGAGTGTTCTCAATTCCATACCACAACATCCAGTCAGAGATGATCTCAGAATCCTTCCAACCCCTGAAGAGGTGCGGAAAGCTATCAAGCAGACGAAAAATGACAAGGCATTTGGAGCTGATGGAATCTCCATGGAAATCTTCAAGCATGGGAGAGAGGAGCTCACATCACAGCTTGATACCCTCATTCCCAGATGACCTCAGGGACACTGACTGTGACAAACTCCAAGAAAGCAGACAAGCCCAACTGTGGAAACTACAGAGGGATCGCCTTGCTGTCCACCCCAGGAAAGATCATTGTGAGAAAATCTCCTTCCACTTGCTGAAGAGCTCCTCTCAGAATCTCAGTGTGGGTTTAGGGCATTAAGAGGTACAACCATGATCTTCACTGCTTGCCAACTGCAGGAAAAATGCCAGGAACAACATAAACCTCTCTATATGGTCTTCTTTGACCTCATGAAAGCCTTAGGCTGTCAACTGAGAAGTGCTATTGGTACAGATGGTATGGATACCCACTGAAATTTGTGGGTAGATGGTATCAGTATTGGTACAGATGGTATGGATGCTCACTGTTCTTTGCCTGCTCCATGATGGTATGAGATCAGTGGTTCTCAGTAATGGTTCTATCACAGATATCTTTGAGATTAAGACAAGAGTTAAGCAAGGCTCCACCACTCTTCTCAATATTCCTTACTATGATGCTATGTCTGACCATCAACAAGCTTCCAGCTGGAGTGAAGCTAAACTACTGAACACATGGTAAACAGTTTAATCTCAGCTGACCCCGAGCCAAAACCAAGTCTATCCCAACCTCAATCATCGAGCTCCAGTACATTGATGATACCGTAGTGTGTGCTCACTTGGAAGCAGATCTTCAGGCAATTGTTGATGCCTTTACCAAGGCATAGAAGAAAATGGGACTGATGTTTAACATTCAGAAGAATTCAGATTTACAGTGGGACTCTGGAGAACATTGAGAATTTCCCATGCCTCAGAAGCCATCTCTCACAGAAGGCTGACATCAAAGAAATCTAACATCACCTCAGATATGTAAGTGCAGCCTTTGGATGCCTGAGGAAATGGATGTTCAAAGATTGCAACATCAGATTCAAAACTTGGCTGTGGCGGAGTACCTTTGAGGGTGCTCGCCACTTGGGGGGCTCGCACAGGCTCCAGTGGGAGCCTGCTTTGGAGGAGAAACAGGGGAAACCCCCTAGGTACCATTTAAAGGGGGAAGGTGTGTGGCAGGGCACTGTTGGTGCCTGCCACTTTAAGACCAAAGCTAAGCAGCCAGCGGGTGCTTTATGAGGGCAGCCATTTTGGATCTCTGGCTGCCTATATAAAGAGCTCAGTTCCCTGCTGGCTGGGCAGGTAGCAACATTGCCTGGCTGTGAGGCATCATGGATCATCCTAGAAGTAAGGGAGCAGCTGTATGGGATGGTTAGGAGGCTCCTGGTCCTGGGCATGACCTAAAACTGCACCTTGCCGGAAATGGGTGGCCTGGTGGGGCTCTCAGTGGTGTGGGAACCCCCAGGAAATGCCAGGCCAGTTATCACCCTGGTTGAAGGCAGGTAGGGGTGCCTTAACCTGAGCCCTCACCTTTGGGTGGATTTGCATAACACTGGAGGCAGTTGGGGCCAGGCATGGCTACGGCCACCTGAGCCCTGTGGGGTGAGAGACCCCAAAGAGGGAGAGTTGGGGCCAGGTATGGTTGTAGCCACCTGAGCCCCATGAGATGCAAGACCCTGAGGAAGGAAAGTGGGGGCCAGGCACAGCTGCAGCCACCTGAGCTCTGTGGGGGTGCAAGACCCTGAGAGGAAAAGCTGGGGCCAGGCACAGTGGCGGCCACCTGAGCCTGCTGGGGAGGAAAGCCCCATGGCCCCAAGTGAAGGGGGTGGTGTGGAGCCCGGAGTGAAGGGGGCAGAGATGAGTAGCCTTGAGTGGAGGGGGCAGTGTGGAGCCCTGAGTGGAGGGGAGTAGGCTTAGGTAGGTCTTCGGACTCCAGAGGCTGAGGGCTGAATAAAGGGGGGCTCAGCCCAAGAGAGAGATAGGCGAGTCCTGACCCCGGTAAGTCCTCCATTGCTGGGAGGCTGAGTGTGGGTCAAAGGTAAGATCTTAAGTAGCACCACAATCTGCTGCTCCAGGGGGCAGTGAGAGTCTCCTGTGAGACCCTGGAGCACCAGTCGTGGTGTGAGGCACCCTAGCTCCCACATCCAGGAAGGTGGACCTGAGAGAGAGTGTGGGGCTAGTGAGAGAGGCCGGAGGTAGAGTACCCCCTTGACTGGTCAGTGCTGGGGCCAGGACCAGGAAGGTCAAAAGGGCCAGGGGCCCACCGTGAGGGATGCCCCAGAGCCAAGGGCCTGGGGTCCCACCTGGCTTTGGAGGTGAGGCCAGGGCCCGTGTGGCTGAAGGTCCCGGGGGGACCATGCCTGAGAGGGGAGATAGCTACAGGGAGCTCGGCAGCCTGAATGATGGCAGAGGAGGACGCCCGAGTGGGGGGGTAAAAGGAGGGTCCTGATAGGAGGATTCTGGAGCCCAGTGTGGGGCTGGTGTGACTAACAGCTGGATGCCATTTGCGAGACATGAGCTGTGGTGTAGGAGATAGTGCCGCCTAACATCAGGGCGAGAAATGGGCAGCCTCCCGCTTAATTAACATCCTAATTAATAAGAACAACGCATGGCAGGAAAGTCAGGTCGGAGATGTGCCCAAAAGCAAGTGGGGAACCTAGCACTGTGGCTAGGTGGGGAGCCCCACTTTGCCACACAAACTTGTAGTTTATCAAGCAGTCATGATCCCTACCTTACTCTATGAAGATGAGACATAGACAACATGCAGGAGACACCTAAAGTTGTTGGAAAAGTACCATCAACACTGCATGTGGAAGCTCTTTCAAATCCAGTGGGTAGAAGTATGCACCAACATTAGCATCCTCTCACAAGCAAACACTGTGGGCATTGAGGCAAAGATTATCCAATATCAACTTTGCTGGGCCGGCCATGTCATCCAGATGTCCAACTCCAGACTCCCAAAGCAAGTTTTATTCTTCAACTCAGTCAAGGCATACATTTAAGATCAGGGCACAGAAAGTGCTTCAAGGATATCATCAAGGCCAACTTGAAAAAATGCAACATTCGCATCAACTTGTAGGAGACTACCTCCCAGGAATACCCCAAATGGAGGACGAATCTGCTGCAAACATCTCAGTACTTTGAAACCTCACGACAACAGGAGACAGAAAAGTGGGAATGGCATAAACAGCATGTTGCAGACCAAACCAAGAATCTAGGGCCACCCACCCCACATGGATACATATACCCGAGTTGCAATGGAACCTGTTGATCCTAGGTCAGTCTCATCAGTCATCTTCAGACCCACAGATAAGGCAATCATGGAAGACCATCATCCTGAACTGCAAGCGAATGCTGCTGCTGCTGCTAACAGTGATTCTTAGCCAG